ACTCCCTTCTAGCACTGATGATGTTACCTAGTTGGGTAAGAAAACATCTGTAAGAAAACAAGCAAGCTCAGACGGCACCAAGAAAATCACCGTTATCGCCCTTCTCCTCCATCCTCCACTCCATAAACCCCACTCCCTTCTAGCACTGATGATGTTACCTAGTTGGGTAAGAAAACATCTGTAAGAAAACAAGCAAGCTCAGACGGCACCAAGAAAATCACCGTTATCGCCCTTCTCCTCCATCCTCCACTCCATAAACCCCACTCCCTTCTAGCACTGATGATGTTACCTAGTTGGGTGAGGAAACGTCTGCAAGAAAATCTCAGGCAGTATCAAGGACCCTTCATGTCAACCCTGAGCTACAAATATTCTCTTTTATTAATAGGTCAGTTACCTTTGCCTATCAGTAGGATGGACACGGAAATATTTCCCACAATCAGTTTAATTCAATATCCAGCCAGCAGGCTTAAATTAACCATCAACACTCCAAGTGTTTTATCCTTTTGAATCTCTTTCAAACCCTTTTTACAAAATAAAAAATAAAAAAGGAGTCGTCTTTCTTAAAGTCAACTTCTATGTTCAGGGAGTTAGCTATGTCTAACCTATTGAAGACGATAAGGATTAAAGGGGGAACATGATCGTTGTTTTCCAGTACTTGAAGGGCTGTCACAAGGAAGAGGGGATTGACTTAATCTCCAGCGTACCGGAAGGTAGGTCAAGAAACAAGGGGTGACAGCCTGTTAGATTCCACCTAGTAGTAAGGAGAAATTTTCTGACAGAACCGTCAATCAGCTTGCCTCCAGGACAGATGTGGTATTCAGCCGGTTTTGACCGGTTCTTGTGAACCGCTAGCGGAAATTTTAAGTAGTTCAGAGAACTGGCAAATACCACCACTGGCTGGCCCCCGCCCCCAACTATTTGCTTTCTCCCGAGGTCCCAGCTGATCAGCTGGGTCTTCTTTTGTTACCCTGCACAGGACAACGGAGCTGGAAAGCAGGCTAGTGGGGTGGGGAGGGAATGGGGATTTTGCAGTATCCTTCCCCCTGGAGTGGGGAGGGAATGGAGATTTTGTGGTATCCTTCCCCCTGGAGTGGGGAGGAAATGGGAATTTTGCGATATCCTTCCCCTGGAGTGGAGAGGGAAGGGGGATTTTGCNACCTCTTCTGTAGGTGTGGCCTGCTTTCCGGGTCCACTGGTGGAATCTCTTCTAACCGGTTCGGTAGATTTGACGAACCGGTTCTACCGAATAGGGGCGAACTGGTAGGAACCCACCTCTGGTTGAGACTCTAGAAAGAGTGCAGAGAAGAACATCCAAGATGATTAGAGAACTGGAAGCTAAAACACATGAAGAACGGTTTCAGGAACTGGGCATGGCTGGTCTAGTGAAGAGAAGGACCAGGGGAGACATGATAGCATCTTCCAATATTTGATGGGCTGCCACAGAGAGGAAGGGGGCCAAGCTATTTCCCAAGGCACCTGAAGGCCAGACAAGAAATAATGGATGGAAACTGATCAAAGAGAGATTCAAGCTGGAAATAAGGAAGGACTTTCTGACATCGAGAACAATCAACCCATGGAACAGCAGAGTCCTATCCAAAACAACCAATTCGAACGGCTCCTTGATTCCGAAATCAGGACCAGCTCTCTCAAATGACTAAATCAGCCTCTTGACGTCTTAAGAGATTAATACGCGGGAGACTGAGAGAAAGAGAGAGAGAGTGCAATAAACCGAGCGGCTTGAATTATAGTAGCTCATTGCCGAAATCCTGGGTCACCAAGTAATTTACTGATGAGGCTCCAGGACAATTTGCACAGCCCAAAGCCCTCACTGTCTGCTGACTACCGCTGTTCGTATTATTAATGCAATCAACCGACAGCAGGGTGCTGGGCAGCGAAAAGCCACTCGGCTCGAGCAACTAAGATGGAGGTGGCCACTGATTGGGGGAAAATCCAGAATTCAGAGCTAATGGGGAGGTTAAAAGAGAGAGGAGAGGGGAGAGGTTACAAAACTTCCTTGCCCTGATTACCACTTTTACAAAGTTTTTTTTCTAGAGGGATTTCTGCAATTTAGGGAGTCCCCCTATTTAGGTCAGCATGAGGGGTCCTTGATGCTCTCTGAGCTTGCTTGTTTTCTCGCAGACATTTCATTACCCAAACTAGGTTACTTCATCAGTGCTGGCTAGAAATCTCTGACCGAGGCTTCCCAAGACAATGAAGCAACTCCTTGTCCCACCAAAAAAAACCTTTTATTAATTGACTGTGAATTCTGCTCCTTCACATCCAGCAATGTCTTTCCAGGGAGGATTTACAGTCACAGACCTTCTCTGGCTTGGAGAGCTGACAGGCTGACATCTGTAAAACCTGGCAAGGAGTCTCGGAGAGTCACAAACTAATGAAGTGAAATAATTGTCTCCTGCAAACTCCACTCCCCTTTTGCTCCTCTTTTATTTCCATTGCGGAGGGCATCATCCACCTGTGGCCTTGCTCTCAAGTCGACCCTTGTTCCTTAGCTGTTCCCTTCGTCTGGCAATTCTGCGCATGCGCACACTGGGAACAGGTTCCAGNCATGGCTAAATGCCAAAGGCGCACCGAACACTGTTCCCTTCCCACCAAAGGTGGTGCCTATTTTTCTACTTGCATTTCTTACGCGCTTTCGAACTGCTAGGTTGGCAGAAGCTGGGACAAGTCACGGGAGCTCACTCTGCTATGCGGCGCTAGGGATTCGAACCGCCGACCTTTCCGATCGACAGGCTCACCTCTGAACACCATTATGAGCTCAATGAGGGCCATTCCTGACGTTTTAAAAAATATTTATTCCGAAGAAAAGTTCACTCCGTACAAATTTTGAACTGGAACATTCTCAATATTGCAATACAGTTTTTTATATATATATATATAAAAAAAAAAGGCTAGATGGATGCAATAAAAACAATTTCTTTGTGGGGGTTTTTTCTTTTAAATTACACAGCTAAAACTAAAAAAAACCAAAAACATAGAAGCTCCACGGGAAGTCGCTTAAGGATCTACATTTAAATTGGGAAGAACTGAAAAACAAATGAAACAAAAGGAATTTAAAATACTTTTCAGAAGTTTTTTTTGGGGGGGGGATTTGAGCAAATGGGTTACTTCCAAATACTTGTTTTAAAACGGACGACAGTTTCAGGTTTAGGCAAATCCTGGGCTGCCGAAGAGTTTCGCCAACCCAGAAATGAGTCCACTTTCACCGTAGAAAGTTCGTAGAAGTAGCACAATTTGATCATTTCCTGGGTTTTTTTTTTTTTAACCAACTAGCAACTGAAACAATTAACAACACCAACAAAAACAAGAGGTTCCCCCCCCCCCCTGTACATCTTTCTTACAAAAATCACTGTACAATGCCCACTAACTCGCCTACGTTTTTGGCTGGATTAAAAATGATTTTTTTCAACTGTCTTTGTCACCGGCCAAAAAGTAAAGTTTTTAAAAATAAAACTCCGCACATCGGTATCCTCGAGGAAGGGGGAATAATTCTTTTTTTTTTTTTAAACCCCCAAATTGGCGAGGAATCTCAGGCAAGTTTCAAAACTCTCACCGGCGTCTTCGCTCTTCTTGCTCACGGCGTAAAATGAGATGGTTTTCCAAACGTGCCAAAGTTCAAATCTTGTCCTTTGGAACAGGGGTCTCCAACCTTGAAGGCTTGTGGACTTCAACTCCCAGAGTTCCTCAGCCAGCCAAATCTCTGCTCTTCTTGCTCACGGCGTAAAATGAGATGGTTTTCCGACGTGCAAAAGTTCAAATCTCGTCCTTTGGAACCTTGGCAACTTTTGACACTGGTGGACTTCAACTCCCAGAGTTCCTCAGCCAGCCAACTCTGGGAATTGAAGTCCACCAGTCTTCAAATTGCCAAGGTTGGAGACCCCCACTCCTGCTTTGGATGATTTCCTCGGAACGGAGAGATGTCAGCGTGATGAGGAAGAAGGAATCCGAACTTTTGAGATGAGAGTCTAAAAACACAACAAGCTCATGGGAACATGATCATGCTGGAGACATCAGGGCGAAGAACCATCCGTGATGGGCCTTGAAGGTCCTCATCATATCTCAATGGGCTTTGCTATCGTCCAAGCCTTCAAGGAGACGTCTAGAGCCACGGATGCCACGCTGGGTCCATGCGGCACAGGTTGTCCAAGCTATTGGCGGCCGCAACCAAGGTGTTGACTTTGCTCTCGCCGCCTTCGAACTGAGCCAAGTTATGGAGCCTGGTCATGATGGCGGTCACAGCTTTCTGAACCAGCGACACCAGCTGTTGGCTGTCCATGTTCTCCGGCTGCCCGGCTGCCGAGAGTGGAGAGGAGGTATCCTCTTGGGTCTTCTTATGCCAAGCAATGGTCTCATCCCGCAGCACTGTTTTCAGGATGCCGTCGACCTAGAAGAGAACGGAAGAACAGAGTGAGAGATGGAAGCGACCTTGGAGGTCTTCAATCCAGGGGTTCCCAAGGGCCACTAAATTCATAATTTTAAATCCCGCGGACCATTAATGGGATCTTCCTAAGGACCGGCTGGGTGGGCGTGGCCAGGTTGATGTCATCTCATGTCGAGGGGCCCCTCACTGGCCTCTACTTGCTCCCCCCCCCCCAGCCACTCCTCGCCTGCCAGCTTGGGCTCCTTATGAGCCGAGGTGGCGCAGTGGTTAGGGTGCAGTACTGCAGGCCACTTCAGCTGACTGTTATCTGCAATTCAGCGGTTCAAATCTCACTGGCTCAAGGCTGACTCAGACTTCCATCC